ACTATCACTATCACTATCACTATCACTATCACTATCACTATCACTATCACTATCACTATCACTATCATTATCATTATCATTATCATTATTATTATTATCGTTATTTTTTTATTGATGACACTCAATTAACTTATTGTAGGTAAAACAGGAGCTCCCGGACATCCGGGACCTAAAGGTGATGCCGGGAAGTCCATATCTACACCAGTGTTGATTGTATCTCCTACGTCACTCACTGTGACTCAGAACCAGACCGCTACGTTTTACTGCTCAGCTGATGGTAATCCAAGCCCTAGCGTGTCCTGGAGTAAAATAATTGGCACAAAATTGAAAAGTATGGATGATAAAGATAAGAAGCTGGAAATTACCAATGCTTCATACAATGATTCAGGGAAGTACGTTTGCACAGCTACAAATATCTTGGGACAAGTTGAGAAAGAAGCAAAACTTCTCGTAGAAGGTAGGCTGTGTTTTTAGACCATTTCATTTAAATCTCCTTGAGGAGGCTACCGTTGCTTAAGTCAGATCTGTTTTGTGAAGAAGATTTACAGTCATATAAATAGGCTGTCTAAAGAGCAAACCTATAAATCCACAACAAGAGATTTCCAAATTTCATGGTGTCCACTTGAGGGACGTGTAAGGGCGAGAGAAAGTTGTCTTAGGTCCCTTCTGATAATTTCTAATAACCTGAAGCAAAGAATAAGCGTGGATTAGCGGTTTTTTTTTTGCTTGTTTTTTCTAGTGCCTCCACAATTCACCAAAGTTCCCGATCAACATATACGTGTAAAGGAGGGTATGGAAGCCTCTGTTACGTGCCGAGCATTTGGTTCTCCACCTCCAGTAATTCAGTGGTCTAGGGCATTTGCGTCCTTGCCAAACGGACGAGTAACTGTTGAGAAAGGCACACTTAAAATTACCAGTTTTCACCCAAAAGATGTCGGAACGTATCAGTGTAAAGCAACCAACAAGCTGGGATCTGTTAGTTCGTCAACAACTCTAAGTATTGTTAAAGGTGAGAACCAGAAATCGGTTTGACTGATACATTATTTGAACCACGTACAGGTGGGGGGGGGGGGGGTTAAATAGGCCTTAATATTTGTGCAATGGATATCTCCAGCTTCACTACAGGTTAAACCCTGTAAATGAAAGTCACCGACAAGCTGGGATCTGTTAATCGGTGACGGCTTAGCATAATCATGAAAATGAAGGTAAGAACTAGCGACCGCCAACAACTATGGAAAATATACTGTGGCAACCATGACCGTTGCGATCAAGATTTTAAGCGGCAAAAAACCTAAGGCATTTTCAATAACTTCTTGCATTTGTATTATACATTACCAAGCAAAGCAAATGAAATAGCCGGGAAGGATTTGTAAGCTAGAAGTGGACTTTTGACTGGTATTTTACGACAGTCTATGAACAAATCCCAAGAATTAAAAGGGCCCGTTTTTCATTTGCAATGTAACTTTATCACTGCAGATATTTTGAGCTATTCTGGTCCTATTGGAGAGGTTATCGTTGACATAGTATGTACAGTTAACAGTATTCTGTTGGTCTTTCCTTTTCTCAATATTATCATTCTTTCATTATAGGGGGAAAAAACCAACATCTTACTTAATTTTACTTTACAGTAATTAAACATAATGATTATTTGTAGCTTATAAGTGAATTATTTGCATTCTGTTTGAGAAAAACAGTTATATGTGTGAAGTGTGGAATTCAATATTGCCTTTATTAGAGTAACCTTATAACAAAAATGTTTGTTTTATTACAAAGCTTGAATCGAGCCTTAAACTTTGTGCTGTTGCTTCTTACTAATTAATTAGAGGAGTTTAGTGCGGTCTTCACCAATCTCGGTGCGAGTGGAAGATTTGGTCCGACAACACTCGGTAGTCACTACACAGGTCAGGATCATGACGGTCAAGTTACACTGACCAGCGGTATTCAACTGTGGACTGTGCCATACACTAGTGATTATCGAATAGAAGCAGTAGGAGCAGCAGGGGGATATGGATTACAAAGTAACAACGGTCAGTACCGAGGAAGAGGAGCACGCATGATTGGAACTTTCAGCTTATCCAAAGGTGAAAAAATTCGCATTCTCGTTGGCCAAGAAGGAGGGATTAACCGGGTTTCTAATTCTGCTGGAGGTGGTGGAGGTACCTTTGCAGTGAGAGGAAGCAGCACACCTTTGATAGTAGCTGGGGGTGGAGGAGGCATGGAGACTGTCACTTCAAGACACGCTGGATGTGATGCGAGCGCAAGCAAAACAGGGAATCCTGGGTACAGATCATGGTCAGGAGGGAGCAATGGACATGGTGCACAGATTGCTGATAGTAGTTACTCAGGTAAGATTATAGTGATGTAAGTATGTGTAGTCGATTGTGGCCGAGTAAAATTAAGGATTAATCTAGCATCACGCGCGTTTCCAGAAGTTGCAGAAATTGCCCGAGTCACGCAGCAAGGGGGTGAGGGGGAAGGAGATTTCTGCAACATCCGAAAACAAAAGTGACATTAATCCTTAATTTTTAGGAAGAATCGTGCATGCGATTACTTGCTTATAACATAGAGGGAAAAATCTCTTTCATTAGAAAGTCAAAATTGCGAGCCTTTGCGTAATTCGCACAAATCAGGTGAATGAAGTATATTTTTGTACAACAACGCCGTTGAAAGACTTTCGCCATTAAAACGTTTAAACGTTACTCGGGCTCAGATGCTTAGTGAAGGTCCTTTTTTATGAGCCACACAGAGCGCCGTTGAATCTTCGATAATAACTAATACGGCAGGGAACACAAAAAACATAAGGAGCTATATTAGAGCTGAATCAAGACACTTGCTGAGTGCAAAAAACTGTTGTCAATTGTTCTCGAAATCATAATTATGTTGTTCTCGTTCGTCTCCTTAATCGTAGCCGGCGAGTCCTTGTGCTGATGTTTGTTCCCTGTTCAGAAATCTTTAAGTTTATTTATGACGCTCTTCGATTCACCGGAACTGTTTTTCACTATAGTTAGCTTAGCGCTATTTTTCCACTTCCCCACTTCATTAAGATGTTCTTTTAACGTTTTGAGTTTTTGAGTTTTTAGGTTTTCGCTCATTTCCCTTAGTTCTTCAATAAAATCATTCTCAATTTTCTGATACGATACGCCACAGTTCAGTAACTGCAAAGCAGTTTTTACACCGTTGCCTAGCGACCTGAGAGCCACCTGTTTTTAAGTGATTTTGCCCTCTAGGGAAGGAAAAATTAGGAAAAATAAATGCCCTCTGTCACGGCCAATGAGAATTCAGTAGTTTTGCCCTGTATGTTATAAACACTATAATTTTACTAGCATAAGAAGGATGTCAGTATGATGAGCTTATAACAAAAATGATAGAAACCAAAGTTTTCTAGTATCTAGCGAAAACAAAAGGTCGTCGTTTACCGGTTTGAAACGTACTTGATAATACCTTATCCGGTAAAAAACAGTTATTTCTAACCATCAGTCAGAAAGGTTGTATGAGGTAAAACTCGGGTAGTGGGTAATTAGAATAGGGCGTACCAGGAATTTGCCCACCTTGGATTTAGGCAGTAATAAATTTGTTAAAACATAAGCGGGCGAATATTAACGTTAAAAGCCGACGTTTCGACGTCATCGTGACACAAGTCTCAAGGCAAAGTGAATAAATAATGCAAAGATTTGATTTGTACACAGTCTCTACAAATTAGCATAATACATTTGTATTTAATCAAATCGTTTACAAAAAGGTTGCGAATTTGTTTTAAAATTTGTCTGGAAATAATTCCGTATGATACATTATTGTCTACGGAGCCAGTGTTCTGAAGGCAAGCAAATTTAATCTATAATTTTCTGTTTTTAATAAATAACAATAACAATAATACTGATGATAATGATAATAATAATAATAATAATAATAATAGTAGTAATAATAATAATAACAATAACAATATTTTTTATTATAAATAAATAATAGCAATTTTATTGAGCTCATTAAAATTCTTCACCAAAACTTTACATGATGATTATTTACAGCACAAAACTGTTTACGGTCATGACAATTGTATTAAGACCATTGGAAAAGGAGGCAAAATATAGCTTACAGAAATGAATAAAATCGACAAAACCTGAGAATTGGAATGACTTGTATAAAATGTCACAGAAACGTAGCAAAAGTATCTACGGTTTGTGCCATCGATTGTACGCGAGAAGTAATAATAATAATAATAATAATAATAATAAAAAGACAAAAACAAAAACAAAAAAAAGAAAAGAAAATTACTCTCAAACATTTTACTATTTATGGAGTATTACTCGTCCTCGCATGAATACTACTAATAGTAAAATACTATATAATACTAATAGCTATAATAATAATAATATTAACCTTATGGTGTTAACACAGAAGTTTTTGATCGTTTTAGCATCCTTTCAAAAGGTTTGATTATTTATAAGCCCTTCTTTATAAAATTTGAACTAATCGCCAAATCTGACAATGAATAAAAATATGGTGGATCAAATTAAAGGCCTTGATTACATAATATTGTTAAATAACAAAACAACTTGTGTGTTTGCAGGTGGCGGTGGTGGCGGCTTTTACTCGAGTGGAAGAAGTTCAAAGCAATTTGGTGGTTCAATGGGAACAGGCGGAGAAGGGGGTAAAGGGTTTTTACAGGGAGGAGTGGGCGGAAGATCCTTATACAACAACATCGACGGTGGGTTTGGAGGAGGAGCTGGTCCTTATGGAAGAGGAGGAGGTGCTGGCGGCGGGGGAGGGTACTCTGGTGGAAGCAGTGGAGATAATGAAAACGACTCCTGTGGGGGAGGGGGAGGATCTTATAACGCCGGAAAANGGGAACATGGAAGTATCACGGACAAGGTAAAAGTTAACGTAATCCCCTAGAACACGTTATTTATCACTTCGTTTACTTGTTTTCTTATATCCCTTGTTTTAAAGTTCGCTTTATTTTCATGTAGTCATCAATCTTCAAGGAACTGGAGTTCCTATTTGATGTGATTCTGTTTATTACAGCACAAAAATTAATCAAGTTGACTCAAAAAGAATATCTGAATGCAAATTCGTTGTGCAGTGTCCACGATTTCAGCAACTACAAAACTTCATATCCTTTTGAGGCCGAAGCAGAACATTAAGAAAAGGAGATGTTTATTTTCAGGTGGGGTTGTAACAAACAGTTTACGACTGTCCGCACGCGTGAGAAATTGTGAGTTTTGTTTACCCTCACCCATCAAACTTCCGAGTGTCTCCGCGAAATAAAACTCACTTTTTGCCTTGGAGCCAGTCAATGTATAAGTCAGCAGTTAATGGCTAACAGTTTGAAATTGTACTGATTCAGGAATTTACCGGAAACACAGACCAGGACACTGTGGTTTATCATAAGCTCAACCCATTAATCACAACACGGTACATTCGTTTTGTACCAGTCACTTGGAATGGCAGCATTTCAATGAGAGTGGAGCTGTATGGCTGTAAGCAAGGTACTGGAAAGGGCATGACATTTCCAAAAACGATTTTAACGACTAAAACTGTGACACTTAATTAAAATGATGAAGTGGGTACTCAAAAACATTCAACAAAAGGCATTTCAGTATTAACAGGAGCCTGGCCCGTCCAACTTGACAAAAAAAGAATTATGAAATATTCATTGCCGTGATATATCAACCGCGAGAGAGAGTTTTATCATATTTCTAAACACTGGGAAGAGTTGAAAATACGATGCACAAAGGAATATATTTGAGGATCTGTTAGGTGTTTGGAAATGTGATGGTTTGTTTGGAAATGGTGGTTTCTCAATAGAAACCAAAACTAAGAAAAACAACAGTCCTAATAAAAATCGAATTCAAACCACCGTCACAGTTATGATCTCCTTGGTAACACTTCGCTAATTATTAAAACAGATTGAGAAATTTTGAGCTAACTTTCCAACAGCGATTTAGTTCAAACTTAGAATACAAACTGATATAATATAAACGACACGCGCGTGGCAAAAGCTAATATGTTTCAGTATTATCAGACCATATTAAATGAAACACCGAGATCACGATATAGGCGCTTGGTCCTGTTATATTCAGTATGTTGAATATGTGATTCCATTGTGATTCTTGTGCATGTGTGCGTATTTTTCTTGGTTGATATCGACTTTCTCGTTTATCTTTATCTTGCGTCGGTCAAACAAAGCAACCATAAATGTGGAAACGAGTTCATGAAACATAACTGGAGCTTTTGTCAGTTTTGTCCTTGTGATAGCAACGCAAGCATAAACCAGGCATGATAGATCAGATCAATAAGGAGGAGTTCATTTTACACCGAGTTGATGTGACAGAAAACTGACATTGACTTGCAATCTTTCAATAACAGTAAATTATTTTTCTTTTACTTTTAACAATTTTTGCACCATTTCATTGGATGACAATTTTGCGCCAACCCTACCTTATTTGATACCCAATTTGTTACCAGACCTGAGCTTTGGACTGTTGTTGTTTCCTAATTACCCAGGATTCAATGCTACTTTTACAAATCTTGGTTCGAGTGGAAGAAAAGGTCCAAATACATCTGCAGTTCGTGAACACTACACAGGTCAGGATCATGACGGTCAAGTTACACTGTCCGGCGGTATTCAACAGTGGACTGTGCCGTACACTGGTCAATACAGAATAGAAGTAGTAGGAGCAGCTGGGGGCCATGATAACTACCAGAACAGTTCACAATACAGAGGAAGAGGTGCAAGAATGGTTGGAACCTTCAACCTCTCGCAAGGAGAAATAATTCGAATTCTGGTTGGTCAAGAGGGAAGAATAAGAGGCCACAACGGTTCCCGGAGTTCTGGAGGTGGTGGAGGAACATTTGTAGTAAGAGGAAGCAATACGTGCTTGATAGTGGCCGGAGGCGGTGGAGGCCTCAGAGCTGTAACATCGAGACACCAGGAATGTGATGCCAGCGCAAGCACGTCAGGAAATTCTGGATACAAATCATCATGGTCAGGAGGCAGCCATACACACGGTGGCACGACTGGTAGTGATGATGATGGTCCTTCAGGTGAGAATAGCGAATAATTATTTTCACTTCACCAAAGTGAGCTGTTGCAGGAAACTTCTGATTGGAGTCCTGCCACCTGATCTGTTTTTATTCTCCATCTAAAAATGTTCACGATAAGGATTCCGAAACTCAATATGACGAGGAATGCTATTAAATTCCATCGCACCAGTAAAATAGAAAGATCGCTTGGCGACTTCTGGGTTTAATTTTGCGATATGATAGTCATCACAGCTTTAAGTCGTAACTGTGTGTACAGAAGAATTTAAATGAAAATAATTATTCTAATAAGGTAGCACCAAACTATCAAGGCATTTTCTAGTTAACAAGGTAATGTGAAGTTTTCACGATGATGGGGAAAAGGATGTTCAATCTGTAAAACTTGTAAATTTGCGTGAGTGGAAAACAGCATTCCAATTAAGTCCAAGCTAGACTCGGTAGTGAAGATAGAATTGTTGTCTTAACCACAGCGCTCTTAACTCACGATTCGAGGAATCGATCAAATATGAATGATTTGTGTAAGCGTGTGGAGCGGGACGTGATCGCCTAAAGTGTGCGGTGTGGTGTTACACTTTGGGCCGTTGAGAATTTGAGCGCTCTAAAAGACACTGCATGGAGTTTGAAATAACGATGGATAAAACCGCGCGACGAAATAAAATGTCACTCTTTTTGATAAAATACAGAAAGTATACTCACCTAGCCTGGTTTTTGCCGTCCATTTGGCCTATTTCTTTTTTCTTCTTTTTTTTAACTTCCAGGCGCAGGGAGTCTAGGGAATGTTCGTCTGCGCTGCCGCCATGTTGGCTTCTGAACACAAAATCAAACGGCATAAAAAATAAATAGGTTCATAGATCGGTATTCTTGGGTTAATGTCTATTTTTAGTTATTCAGATAAGACTTTAATCGTTTTAATCACTACTGGAATTAAGGAATAACGCGGAGGTAAAGGGAAGTCATGACTTTGGAGAAAGGAAAAATAAAAAGGAATTTATAGCTTTGAAAACAAAGGAAGTCATAACTTTAAGGATAAAGTGGGAATCGAAATTTGAACGCCACAGAGCACACAGCATGCGGAAATTGGAGAATGATATGACATACCGAGAAAAGATAAGGTCATAATTCGCTGATGTATAAAGTACTGATTTCAAAACCGCCTACGCTTTTACAAAAACAAACCAGATACGTTCCTAATCAGCTGCATGAAACTAATTGATTTCTATTGGGCTGGCTGACTAATTTCCTATGTTAGCGTTTCTTCTATTCAGTGATTTATTCCTCGTTGACTCATTCATGAGTCTTTTGATTAGACGACACAAAACATATTCCGGATGGATTTGTACGTTATAGGGCAAGTACCGTTATGTTGACCTAACCTCTCGTGTCTCCGTTGTACGATTTAAAGCCTCACGCAAATTTTTCCGACTGATTAGCAAGTATGCGAACATGAACAGGGGTTTTGTTTGGACGAAGCTTTTGATTTAACTTGAAACGAGAAGTTTGATTTAAGGTCCCTGGTCAGTAAACGAATTAATTCTGCTGAGAATTGTGTAGTGGCACCAGTGCCCATCATTTTTATTGGAATTATGGCTGCATGCAGTAAAGTTCGGATAAAATACATCGAGGTTACGTTCCTAAGTTGATCATCTCTTTGTTTGACGCCAAATTTAGAACTACAGCTTTTTGCCAAGATTAAAGAGATTCCACTGAAAGGGAATGAATATACTTAATTCGATACCCTCAGTGCTCAAAACGATGGAAATTTTCATTCATCCGATTTGTGGGCACAGTTTAGTCACTGAACTTGCTGGTCCATTTCATCACGAGTAATTCAATCTCAAGTCAAGGATGGATCTCGGAGGCTTACACTACGACTCAAATTTTCTGGGTTATGAGCACGAAACTTGAGAATTCCACCTAGCGGTTTACTGAATCACTCCGACGGTTGGAATGTTTCTCATATGGTACTGATAATTGGCATGGAAGCATGCAAACGTACACTGATGTAAGCGTTTAATCCCGCGTGTAAATAAAAATTAGCCTGGAGAAAGACAAGCGAACTGCTGTAAAAATACAAAACAAAAGGCTGCATTTATGGTGACACCCGCAAACAAGTAAAGCCCAACGCCAAATTATCGTGTAAACAGTTTATCTTATTAGATTTAGCCTGTCACCACAAAACCACTAATATTGGAATATTCTTACATAATCGTGGATTAAGACTTTAATAACATTTTGCTAAAGACAACAATTACGATTTCATTTGGTTAATATCAGTTTGGATTAAAATCTTCTCAAGTTATTGTAAGTGGACCCAGCGTCCAGCTTGTGCCATTATTCATGAATCGCGGATCCAATTTGCCGTCTTAATTCGAATAACGTAATTGATTCGAGGTAGAGAATTTAAGATCAGTTTGAGTTTGCGCGAATCTAAAATTGTAAAAGGTAAAATTCCAGAACAGATAACACCAAACAACCTGAACTTTCTGATAACCGAATGAAGGCGTGGTCAGGAATCTTTGATCATGTGCCGTGTTCGCTAATGGAAGCGACACGTGTCGTTTGTATTATGTCATCTATCATCCACTTGCTCCTCGCAAGGGAAACATCAGGAAATATCAACACTGCTTAAAACCTAGATTCAGATTAGCTAGCGATGACTATTAAATAATGCCCACTTCTTATGGTGGAATAAATTTGTTTCAAAAGAATGCAGCCCAGAGCGCAGCTATAACTACAAGCACACCAATGATAAGAGCATGGATATGACTAAAATATTTTTCAAAGAACAAAAGCACGTCTTGTCTCGATATTTGACCTACATTGTAGGGGGTCGAATTAATAAAAGCGCCTTACGACAAACATGAAGTAGAATTTGTGATAAAGGTATCAAAACTTCATTAACTGATAATCAGTATACATGAACTATAAGAAGTCCTTAACAAAGATTCTGAATTGTTGGATAGGTTGAAATAATTGAAAGGAAGACCTGTTGTTTTTGATCAGTAGAATTCAATTGTTTTCACAATGGATACCTGGCGTGCCATTTTAATGGGGGCGATCGCCTATTTCAGGTTATCTACACACGAAGATATGGCAGAGGTAGTGAACAATTTCATTTGCACGCAATGCACCAAGGCACTTGAGTCTAGGGTCTAGAGTACTTAATATGAAGTGAAAAACACCAGCAATCTCTCGTTTGTGCTGCGTGGAACATGCTCTGCCATCATATTTTATCAGCGAAAGGGCAATGCGGTTATGCCTCGAGCAAGCTGCTTCCGGTCAGATTTAGATCCCATACGTGCGTAAGTGACCTTGTTAAACAGAGCCGGCTATCTTTAAAACGGGGAACGGGGAATCGGAGAATCGGAGAATGGGAAACGGAGAACGGGGAACGGGGAACGGGGAACGGGGAACGGGGAACGGGGAACGGGGAACGGGGAA